ATTTTCATAGGTACTGAATGAAACACGTGTCCATCGTCATCAGTTGTTGGTGACTGTAGCCAAGAACATTAAACAGTGGTTCATCAAGGTAATCAATAATTAACAATAGTCACAGATTGAAAAAAAACAAACAAACAAACCAGAAGAGATCGCAATTTGTGGGCATTGAGAAGTACATTGTAGGATACAGTCAACTCACTGCTAACACACAGCTTTTCAATAACTCCCCCAAGTGTCTACTTTCTTATAGTGGATCAACCCTCCCTGTGTGTAGCTGAAACTATGGACACCTATTTATCAGTGGAATCAGCTTATCAATGGACTTCTCCTAAGTGCATGATCACTTTGTCACAGTCCCAGTTACACATGAGTACTTTCTCTTACAGTCAATTTAATTGCACCTCCTTAGCTTGAAGTGGTAACCAATGGTCCTTCAAACGTCATGGGTCTCCCAAGATTTTGGTTAAATTTCTCAGTTCTCGCTGTCTGGTTTTTTTTTTTAGCAGTTACATGATGTGCATCTCGCCGTCTCAGTGTTTCTTTTTTTTTCACAAAGCTGTTTGAGAGTCTAGATTTTTTGCAAGGGTAAGAAAGTCCGGAAGTCCCGATTTGTTTGTTTGGTTCAACAAGTGCATCACTAAATGGACTAGGTTGGGTGCCTGGACATCCAGGAGCTTCCACTGTTGGCAGCCAGCTCCTAGATTGAGACTGCTCACCCAGCCATGAGCCCCCATGTGGAAGGGGAGACGGGCACCTGTCAGTCACACTAAATTAACAGTGGAATGGGGGAGGAGGGACACTTGAAGATGTGCTCTTGTGCAAAACAATGTTCACTGTAAATGCTGTCGCTGTGAAGGCTGCCAACACATCTCAGTCCAAGAGCACACAGAATCCTGGTACATGCACATATCAAAACACCGCTGACTACCACAGGAATGCTGGTGCTCTTTGTTGCTAACTCCTTTAAATTACATGTAACTGCATTTTATAAATGATGCCTGAATGTCTTAGAGTCTAAANTTCAGTTGAATAGTGATCAAAACAATACTTCATTCTACTGATTCTTTCCAATTTTCATAGGTACTGAATGAAACACGTGTCCATCGTCATCAGTTGTTGGTGACTGTAGCCAAGAACATTAAACAGTGGTTCATCAAGGTAATCAATAATTAACAATAGTCACAGATTGAAAAAAAACAAACAAACAAACCAGAAGAGATCGCAATTTGTGGGCATTGAGAAGTACATTGTAGGATACAGTCAACTCACTGCTAACACACAGCTTTTCAATAACTCCCCCAAGTGTCTACTTTCTTATAGTGGATCAACCCTCCCTGTGTGTAGCTGAAACTATGGACACCTATTTATCAGTGGAATCAGCTTATCAATGGACTTCTCCTAAGTGCATGATCACTTTGTCACAGTCCCAGTTACACATGAGTACTTTCTCTTACAGTCAATTTAATTGCACCTACTTAGCTTGAAGTGGTAACCAATGGTCCTTCAAACATCATGGGTCTCCCAAGATTTTGGTTAAATTTCTCAGTTCTCGCTGTCTCGTTTTTTTTTTTAGCAGTTACATGATGTGCATCTCACCGTCTCAGTGTTCCTTTTTTTTTTTCACTAAGCTGTTTCAGAGTCTAGATTTTTTGCAAGGGTAAGAAAGTCCAGAAGTCCTGATTTGTTTGTTTGGTTCAACAAGTGCATCACTAAATGGACTAGGTTGGGTGCCTGGACATCCAGGAGCTTCCACTGTTGGCAGCCAGCTCCTAGATTGAGACTGCTCACCCAGCCATGAGCCCCCATGTGGAAGGGGAGACGGGCACCTGTCAGTCACACTAAATTAACAGTGGAATGGGGGAGGAGGGACACTTGAAGATGTGCTCTTGTGCAAAACAATGTTCACTGTAAATGCTGTCGCTGTGAAGGCTGCCAACACATCTCAGTCCAAGAGCACACAGAATCCTGGTACATGCACATATCAAAACACCGCTGACTACCACAGGAATGCTGGTGCTCTTTGTTGCTAACTCCTTTAAATTACATGTAACTGCATTTTATAAATGATGCCTGAATGTCTTAGAGTCTAAA